CCTTTTTTTTTGACTTTGAAAACTGGTTTAACTCCACCGATTTTTCATATGGCGGCGTCGTCCAGGAGTTTTTTTCCGGGGAGGGAAAATGGCTACTCCACCGATTTGATTCCACGGTGTACAACCAGACCGTCCTTGTGCTACACAACGGCGATGCTCTTTCTTCCATGCTGGCCATGACTGCCTGGTTGGGGTCTATTTCACTCTCGCCGCTGCACATTTTTCTCCCTGCCAGCTGGTCGAACAATATTGTCTACATTATTTCTTTTGTGACGCAGATGATTGATTTCCCTTGGAGACGTTACGAGCAGCAGCTTGTGAATTACATGCAAGGCCTCAGGGCGGTGAGCACAAAAGGGCTGATACTCACCGGAAGCGGAGTAGCGGGAGGAATCGCGTCCATAGCGGGTGCTCATGCACAAATTCAAACGGTTGTTTTTGGTTCTCCCGGGTTGTTGCATCTTCTGCGACTTACTGGCCTGTCGCTGGCGGAGTACCACAAATATGTTTTGACCGTTGGTGCGTCCAACGGTGTCCTGGACAATGTCGGCGGACAGGACATCACAATGAGCCAGAAGTTGTACTGCAATGGAAACGCCGTGACTTGCCTGTCGATGGAATATATCTCTCGTGAGCTAATCCAGAGCTGTGACACATCTGGGCGAAGGCACATCTAAAATGTCGCGACGTGAGAACCGTAATTTTATTTTATTATTTATTTATTGTCTTTGTCTTTTTTGTTTTTATATTTTATATATTTCCGCATGTGACGCAAGTTTAACAATAAAAAATGATTTTTAATTTTATTTTCCATCTGCTGTATATATATATATATACAGTGTGTGTGTGGTGTTGTGGAGGGGGTTATTTGCACCCGCTTTAGAGGAAAAGAAAAAAGAAAAAAAAGAACAAAACAAAACAAAACCAACAAATGGCAGGCATTTTGATGAGTGCCACTGTTTGTTTTGTTGGTGCGATTGTGGGGAGTATTTTTTTTTTCTTCTTCCGTTTTTTGTTCGTTTTGTTTTTTGTTTAAACATCTTTTTTTTTTGTGTGTATATTTTTGTGCCTTCCCCTGCTGTGCAGCTATTTTGTAGTTTCATTCATGCCACACCCGACGCTGCTGGACATTGGGGTGACGGCCTACACGCACCAGGCGGAGGTGGACGAGCTCCGGCAGCGGCTGAATATTCCCCACAACTACTTTGACTGCTGGCTTTACGGATTTTTGGAGAACAAGAAATTTAACATTGAAGAGGCTGTGAGCAAAATACGGCGTCGTGAAGCATTTGAAAGGGAGCAGATTGCACAGCACACAATGACGGACTGGATGTTGCAAAATATGCGAAAGGGCATCGCGCAGATCATAGGGAATGACAAGGAGGGCCGGGTTGTATTATACGTGGTCACCGCCAGGGACAAACCAACTGCCTCCAGGCGTGCGGAATGTAAAATGAACTTCGACATGATCTTGAGCTACGGGACACGTCTTCGCGCTGACAGCAAGCGGTGCCAAATGGTGATGCTCATCAACCAAGAAAAGGCCAGCCTGTGGAGCAATGTGGACATGACATTTCAGGCGGACATTGCCCTCCGTATCGCAAAGTTTTTTCCTGGTGCGGTGGACAAGATGTACATTTGCAACATGAACCGTACCCTGGCAGCCGTGGCCAAACCCATCTTTTCACGGCTTCCGGCTATTGTGTCGGATCGTATTATAATTATCTCCGATAGCGAGCTGAAGGCTGGGAGGTTGTTGGAGTACTTTGATGAGAGTGTCCTGCCGGTGGCGCTGGGCGGCAGCAATGACTGTGACCATCAGGAGAACTACACCCAGTTTTCTGTGGCCATTAAGGAACACTTTGAGCAAATGAAGTGCGCCGTGCTCCGTGGACTCTCGGTGAAGGAGTGGGAACTAGCGTGTCTCTTTCCGCACGGGCTGCCGGAGGACTTGAAATCGGTTTCTGAGCGACTAGACAACCTTTCTAATTCCGCTCTGTTGCCCAATAATACCCTAATTGACTCACTCTGGAGTCATTGCTACGCTTCCACTGATAATTCCATTTGCTCGGAATCGTTGGACGTTGTCACATGTGACACGATTGACATGGATTGCTTCTGTGCAGCGCGGTTGGTTGGGGAAAAGTGCGTGGGGGCAGAACTGCCTCCTGTTGGGCGATCGTTAAGTGTGGGGAAAAGAGACTTTATAGATGATTATGTGGAGCAGTTTGTGCTGTTGGAGTCGTTCTTTCGTGGCAGCATTGCCGAGACGGCGGAACGCGAGTGGCTTTCTATTTTGCAACGCGAAGTTCTTGCACGTTCCACATTGAGTGATGCGGAGCAAAATATGGGAAAGAATACAGCCTTGTTTCGACGCCTACCCGTGCCATTACGGCTTATTGCTAGGGGCTGTCTTTGGCTAGCGTTGATGGTGATGTCGTTTTACTTCCTGATTGGTTCCGTTTTTGGAACGTTGTTTCTTTCCTGCTTTATGAATTTTCTTTTCTTTTCGATGTTTATTGAGCCGTACAAAGCATTCCCGTACGGCTGCGCGCTGCTTGTGACTGGGTGCCATTGCGCGCTTTTCTGCTCTCGTGGTATTGAGCTGGCACGTCGGACGTACAATGGTGAACTTGTTGACGCCTTTCGTTTCATTGGGCCAAGGGCACTGTTGATGCAGGCGTTGGCGTGCGTTGCAGCCTTGATTGCTTTCTTTGTTGTGTTCTGTGTCATGGCATCACAGTACGACGTTGTTAGTGGGATTCAGTACTCCATGGCTACTGGATGGATTGTGGCAGTGTGCATTATACTGCTATATCACTTTCTTTACGCCTTTGGAGTCACGGGGTACTACAAAAGCCTTCGAAAGGAGAGTGCTGCGGTTGCGACGCTGTATTTTTTTCTGGATGTGGACATGGACGCAAACCAAACCACCATGCGTGGCACAGCAACAATAGAGGTGACCATGGCAAGTATTGTGGCAATGGCGGCCTTTGCGTTTGGTTTAAGCTATGTGCTGGACGGTTCCATTTTTTTTCTTTGCGCAACTGTTACGACGACTTTTTTGATTGGTTTGTTTGTGGTTCTGTTTCTGAACACCGGCCGAGCTTCTTCCACGGATGGCTTGTTAACAGTCGTTGCGTTCTACTCCGGTCTGACATGGTTGACGATAGTCTTTACAACCGCGGCACACGGCTGGCAAGGGAGGTGGGGTACTTCCTTGGGCGCTCTTTTGGCCTTAGCGTTGGTGACGGACACGGTTGTTCTTCTTTACACATTTTTGCCCGTAAGGAACCGCGTGGCGCGTCGTTGGATGTTCCGCGCGTTATGGATGTGGATCATTGCGCAGTTTATTGCCTTTCTTGCCCTTGCATTTATTAGTGATTACCGTCTTGGTGTCATCACAATTATACTTGGCGTGCACTTAATGTTGCATGGGATGCGGGTGGGTGGCGGCTGCTCCAACTACGGCTTATCGATTGTTGTTTTTATCTTTCTTTCCGCGCTGCTCTTTTGCATTGTGGGCGGGTGGAGCACTGCTCAGTCTGTCTACAAAACTCCGGCCAGCACCTGGCTTTTGCCGAACTACACGTGGCATGGAGGCAATACGCCTGTCACTGGCGTGTCTTTGCCGCAATCCCTTTCATTTCTGCCGGTGTGTTTGGTGCGCTTTTCTTCCACGGTGGACATTGTGGGCATGGCGCTTTTTGCAAAATTGTCAGATGCAGGCTCGTTGGATGTCACGCTGGCAGACCTTCACAGATGGTTTCCCAACTTTCGTTATGTGTATAACGACACATTTTTGCCGTTGTCTTTTTTACAAACGAAAATTTTTACGAGTTCGTTGAAAGGGCACAACACAACTATTGTTACGCTTGGCACCACAGGCCAAATGTACCCTGTGATGGAGTCTATGACGATATGGATCAATGTTGTGGCTCTTTCCCTGTTGGCTCTCATCACACCATCCGGCTGGTTTGTTCAGTTGGTGTCGCTGATCTCCGCGGCGGATGAGTTATCCGCACTGCTGTGGAATTCGTCCATTGATCGGGCGCGGGATATTTTAAGCGCGTACGTGAAATCCATTGTGAGTCCAACCCATGATGTGTATTTTGTTGGCCACGGCCTCGCAGGGGCAGCAGCGGCGTTTTTTGTCTCAGACTTACCAGAGAATGTGCATAGCGTGACATTTGCATCGCCACTGAGCGCGGTTGCGTGGCGCCGTGGCCATAATTGGATGTCTGATGAGTTATCCAGCCGTGTTTTGTCTGTTGTGTCGTCCTCCTCTTTGTTTTCGCTGCGTTGGATGTGGGGGGGACTGTCGTACATGATACCATGCAATTTGTCTGAGGGTGAATGTCACAACATTGACTCGATGGCACGGCTATTGGATGCGCTTTGCGGCTTGAATACAAAGTCAGACGGGAATTAAACTCTTGAAGGGAGAGTCCAGTGGAACAATATGTTTCTTCTTTTGCCAGAGTTTTACTGCGTACGCAAAATAAATGTCATTAACTGTGAAGAAGAAGAAGAAAAAAATATATATATATTATAAGAGAACGAGAAAAAATGGAAAAATAAAACAAAATGTGCGTTGAAGAGAAAAAATTGGTTGACTGTTGTGCTGTTCCATTCAGGAGGAAAATAAAAAATAATTGAAGTTTGTTTATATCCCTCTTGCTGAATGTGTCTGTGCGCAATGTTTCCTTCTTACCACACATTTATAATATTTATGCCTGTTGCCTGATTCTTTTCTTTTTTCTTTCTCTTTTACCTACATATATATTATTTTTTTTGGATTAGTTTGTTAGTCTTCTTTACGCAGTCAGTGGTGTTGGTTCCCACCTTGTTGTTGTTGTTGTTGTGGTAAACTTGTTTGCTTTGTAGTTGTTGTTGTTGATGGGCGGTGGCGCCTCAACGAGGAAACAAATGCAGGACGACAGGAACGTATGGAATTCAGCCAAACGTGTTGATAGTTCTCCGCGTTTTATAGAGGATGAAGTGAAGGCGATGAATGATGTCACACCAGCGTTACTTGCCACAAACACCGCACTCGACTCCCCTGCTAAGGCCGCGCATTTTACCTCCACACGAGAGGCCCTCACGCGGGACGATCAATCTTCTCGGAATGAGCGAAGGGGGCAGTGCGGGTTGCGCCAGTCCGCGCCGTCGCCTCAAAACCTTTTTCAAAATTTTGAGTCCCTCTCCCGTGAGTTGAGGCGGCTTTCTACAAGACGACGAGCGGCGTCTACGTCACTCAATGGGAACACCTCGTCACCGCAATTGCCGTCTATTCGTGAGCTCCCGGGAATCGTTCAGAACGTCACACCGAAGGACACCGGAGGGACGTCGCTTAGTCCGCGCGTGAAGCTGCTCTCATGTCTCGTTGCTGTGGAGGAGAATTCCAGGGTTATGTCGCCGGCGTCGGCGGCGGCTTCAATAACTTCTTTGCGTAGATTAAATGAGGGCAATTCACGCCGTGCTTCCATGCTGTCACAAAACGCAACACCCGCCGGGCGGACACGAGGAGGCCGCATTAGAGTTGTGGTGCGCAAGCGGCCTATGATGGCTGATGAAATGGGGAGTGATTGCGTTTCGGTGGAGTCGCCATGGGTCCATATCTCCGTCAAGAAGTTGCGCGTTGATCTGACGGACTATGAGGACGTGAATGAGTTCATGTTTGACGATGCTTTTGCGGAGGACCAGAAGAATGTGCATGTCTTTGAGCGCTGCAGCAAAGATTTGATCGCCACAACACTCGACGGCGGTAGCGCCTCGTGCTTTGCGTACGGCCAGACTGGCAGTGGCAAAACGCACACAATGCTTGGGAATGACCAGGAAAAGGGGCTGTACCTTTTGGCCGCGGCGGAGTTGTTTGCGCAACTGACGCCGGAGCACGAAGTTTACGTATCCCTGTATGAAATTTACTGTAACTCCCTTTTTGACCTTCTTATGAACCGCACCCCCGTCGTTGTGCGGGAGGATCACAACCACCGAGTCAACATCTGCGGGTTGTCGTGGCACAATGTGAGCTCCGCGGAGGAGTTGTTTTTGCTTATTAGCAGTGGTACCGACCAACGCCGCACTGGAAGCACGAGTGCGAATGAACGCTCTAGTCGCTCCCATGTAGTTTTGACAATTCGGGTTTTTTGCCGCAAGGACACATCGTTCTGCGGAACACTGAACTTTGTTGATCTCGCCGGCAGCGAGCGGGCATCGGAAACGTCTACAAACGACAAGCAGACACGCCAGGAGGGGGCGGAGATCAACAAGTCACTGCTTGCGCTGAAGGAGTGTATTCGGGCGCTGGACGAGAAGAAGAAACATGTGCCGTTCCGTGGCTCGAAGCTAACGGAGATACTCCGCGACAGTTTTACAGGGAACAGCCGGACTGTCATGATAGCAAACATCTCTGCCTCTTCCTGCAGCTACGACCATACTGTGAATACGCTACGGTATGCCTTCCGCGTTAAGGGTCTCAGCATTGCCAATATTGTGCCAAGCAAAGCGCGTAATGCGCCGCGGCCGATGCGACAGGCCGTCAGTGAAGTCCCACCGCTGCTCAATTTTTCCAACATCGCCGCGGCCGATGCACCGGCAGGAAAGGCAAAGACACCCCCGACGGGTACAAATGGTCGACGCGCTTTAAGTACACAGAGGGGCAGAAGCTGCACACCAAAAACAGGCAACCTCAACGTCCAACGCGGTAACATGAATCCGATCCATCAAAGTACGATAGGGGACACGCACGCCGACAAATTCTCCACGTACCTCCGTGCGGTGACGCATGAGAAGTTGTTGGATTTGCTCCCACCGGCCAAATTACGGGAGATGCTGAATAAAGATACCAGCAATCGAGATGGCGGTGCCAGCACATCGGAGAGTTCCACTGTTTCTTTGGAGGAAAAGCAGCTGTTGGCAGAGATGGTAAGCCACGTGGTAGAGAAGTTGAAAGTTGAACTTGGGTCTGATCTTACACAGAATATAAAGAAGCGTGATCGGCTTATTAGGAAACTTCGCGACGAAAATGGCGCGCTGCGAAAAGCCATTGTTACGCTGGAGAAGAGGGTTGGAGAGTGCCCGCGTTGCAGACAACGGGCGAGATCAAATTCAATCTCATAACCGCCAATTGTCACTTGTAGGTTTTTCCTTTATTTTCCTTTATTTTTATTTGTTTATTTATTTATTTTTGCGCTTGTGCGGGCTATTTTTTGTTTGTGCTTGTTTTCATGCGTCATAAATTATATGTGTATGTATATTTCTGTGCATACATGTGTTTGTATGCGTATATGTGAAAATATGTGTGCTTGATACACATATAAATATATAGATGCGGGTGGTGGTGATCTGCGGAGGGCAAATGGCTGCATTAGTCTGTTATGAATCCTCCTTAATTTTTTTTTTTTGGCGTGGCTCGTCTTGATAATAATCCAGCGTTGGTGGGCAGGACGGTTGGATTACAGGCACTCTGCGGGACGGTGGGAAAAAAGGGAAATGAGACGAATGCCGGCTGGGAAGCATGACGATTGTATGAGGTGGCTCTTTGAATAGGACGCATTTATGGTGGGCGCAGGGCGATCTGTTTTTGCTTTTTTTTTTTTTTTTTTGTTTGGATAATTTCCTGAAGGAATACAAATGCACCCAAATAATTGAGGAGCCTGCATTGGCATACAAACGTACACGTGTACAGATATTGCATGATTAGCTAAACTGGGCAATGTATATCTGTGTGTATATGTGATGTCATCTGTTTTCTTTCTTTAAACCACGATCCGTTTTTTTTTTTGTTTTTTTTATTGCACCGCATGCTTCTCCGTATCATATGAATCAAACAACCACCGGGGTAAAATGGATTGAAAGAGACGAGAAGGGAAAGGGGGATATATATATATATATTATATATGATAGGATGTGTGTATATTATATATATTATAACATACACACATAACGTTGGTTTTTGGAATGGAAGAGTGATACGCAGTGCTGGGGAATGTGTGTTTTATTATTATTATTAGTGATTTATATCTCATTGTGAGGGATATGTGCAGTGGAATTGTGTAGTTTCTGACGTGTGTGTGTGTTGTGCAGCGGCGCATTGGTGAGCCTCTTCTTTTTTTTTTTTTTGTGTGTGTGTGTGTGTGTTTGATTCATTTTGCCAACATAAAAACACATATTTCTTTCTTTTTGAATTGCCCATTATTACTATTTATTTATAAATTATTACTATTTTTTTTTTTTTTTGCGTTAGACAGCCGTTGCTGTTTTTCCTCGTTATTGAGGGGTCGTGTGTGAGTGGGGGGTGGAGGCGATATTCGGTCGTTTTGTGTTTTTCTTTTTCTTGACACGTGAGAGACGTGTTGGCTTTTGACAGCTGTTTTTTATTATTTCTTTTACTCTCTCTCTCTCTCTATGCGTGTGTGTGTGTGTGTTGGTTCACAGTGTGTGTGTGTGTGAATGAGGGGAGAAGGTGTTGAGAGGGATGAGTGGCTGGTGGGCCTGCAGCTCTTCATGGATGTGCGGCTTCGAACCGTGCCGTTTCACGTGGCGTCTCGTAATCGTCCCGGCGTGTCTGTCCCCCTGCCGATTCCCAACACGCAGTACATCATGGATGGAATCATGTGGAGCGTGCGTGATTACATTGCGTGGGCTCCCAATGCCTGGCTGACGATTCAAAATCATCTACAGAGCTGCTCGCAGCGCTACACCCAGCTGGCTGAACGGCTGTCAGAGTCTCATGCACACAATAATTTCCAGGACGGTGCGGAGGTGGAGCGTGAGCGTCTCTACTCCAGCCACGCGTACGTGCAGGACCGTTACGTTGCCTTCTGTGCCGTTGATGCCTTTTTACGCCATGTTGCAGAGGCGTCGCAATCGACTGCACGAGAGGCGGCCGAAAAAGAGCTGCCGCGTCTTGTAGCGGACCACATGCCCATCTGGCAGCTGGCACGCAGTCAATATATGCACGATGCTGTGGAGGACTACCGGCTACTGTTTTTGGACGTGCTGCGATCGTGGACGGTCACGAAACTTCTGCGCCCCGACACGCATCGTCGAATAGAAGAGTACGTGCGGTATAAGCTAAAAACACTGCGGGACAACTCCACGACTCATGAGGGCGACCAGAACGTTGGCCGCCGTTCGTCGGAGGCAATTAGCGCCGGGTTGCGTGTGCTGCTTGCTGGCGCGGGGCCGTCGCAGTCGTCGACCTCATCCCTGTCCTCCTCGTCCCCGTCGGCACCCGCAACAATTGACGTTGTGCGCAGGAATATGAGAGAATTTGTTGTTGCCATTTTTCCTTCGCATCGTTCCGATTCTGGGAGGAAGCGCTGCGCCCACTGCGGCGCCATATTCAGGACTCTCGCTGCAAAGATTGCGCATTACCGCTACCACTTCTACAACCGCAGTTACTTGACAGGGGAGAAAATTGTTCGTCTGCCATACCCCACACTTGAGGACTACATCTCTCACGAGGTGACGTCCCGAGTCACGGGGGACTTTGTACGCGTCACGGAGAATCTTTTGGACGTCCTACGCGTGCCGGAAAAACGAACCGTGCACGTGCGGAAGGAGAAGCAGGAAAAAAAGCCCTCGTGAGGGAAAAAGACGTTTTTTTCTTTTTGTGTGTTTCCGCACGTCCCACTTTCCCCATCTGCGCACGTCTGTGTGTATATCGGAGGCAGCCTCGTTCACCGCTAAAAAACAAAAACAAAAAACAAATGAAAAAGAGGATGCCGACACCTACTTTTGTTTGTTCTTTGATTCTTTGCGGTGTACTCACCTGGTGCATGTTTCTGGACGTGGGGATATGTCCGATTATGAGCATACAACCTGCTATTCCACTCTCTTACGTTTGATCTCTTTCTAATTTTATTTTTGAACTCTTACTTTTGCATGCATGTTGAGAGTGTTCGGCGTGCAGCCAACCGTACATGTGAGCGATGCGGCGAACCCTCGTTGCGAATCGCGGAGCACTCAGTCTGCTCGGCTTGGATGAACGATTGCACTACACGGAGGAGGAGGTGAAGGCGGCGTATCGTCGACAAGTCAAACGGTTTCACCCAGATGCAGGCGGCAGTGCGGAGCGTTTTCGAGAGCTCCACGATGCGTATGTTTTTCTCCTCGGGGATCGCAAGGCAACAGACACTCCGGCAGAGTCATGTGACAGCAGTTCTTTCTACAATAACGCCCATTCTCGGTGGTCTGCGGGTCGGTATGAAGGAGCCGGGTGCGGTGCGGCATTTGCACGTGATGCCTCCAGCGGTTATGCCCGCAGTGATTATGAGTATGACTTGGGCGTTGAGTGGGACGGTGAGAGGAGGTACGCAAACCGATCTACCCGTGATTTCTACCGTCCGTACACATCGAACCCGTTTGCTCATGGATTCACCGATGAAGAGGTGCTGGAGGCGGAGCGACTGAATCGGCTGCGTGTCTTGTGGGCAGTGCTGAAACACGGACTTATTTTTGGTGGCTTGGTGTACCTTCTTTTCGTGTGCTGGCGGGACAACCGCATTCAACGCGCCATTGAGGCCCGCAACAACGGCTACGTGGACGCGTCTTACTGGGAGAAGTTGAAGGAGGACCAACAACGTGGCTTGACTCCGACGCCGCGCCGGCACTGGGCGGATGTACAGAATGAAGAGTTCATGCAGGCGTGGAATAAACGCCTTGAGGAGCAGCGGCGGCGGGGATCCCCGTGTGGGGGCGGGGGTGGCTACGCATTCCGTCCGGTGGCGGTGACGTTTCAAGGGCGCCCGTTCACACCGACGGGTGTTCGAGGCGCCCGCAGCGGGGTTCCGAAGAACACGGCGACTTATGAGGGCGATGAGCATTGCGAGCTGGACGACGCGGAGGGTGACTGAATTTGCTCCGCATGAAACAACTTTGGGAAGGTTCTCTGCATGTTTGTGTGTTTTTGTGTGTGGGGGGGAGAGAGACAGAGGAAAGGAGAGGAATGCCGCCCCAAAATAGAAGTGCAATTAAAAAACCAAAAAACAATTGCATCGGTTTTTTTTTTTGCTGCCATGAAGTGTGGGGGGATGCCTTTGAAAATATATCTTTTTCTTTTGGTATGCTCTTGGCTGCCACGAGTTTTTTTTTTTTACTGTATTTTGCCTTTTTTTACGTGCACACATTTTCTTCTTTTTCCTTTTCTTTCCTTTATTGTATTTGTATGTGTGTGGCGGCATTCTTTCTTCCTTTTTTATCCTGCGCTCGAGAAGGTAAGGACCAACACCACGTGTAGTAATAATACTCCAGCGCAAGAAAGTGACATTTCCGCCCAAATCAAATTTATCCACGTATCCGCAAGCGGTGTTATAGCAAACGTTGCGGGGGATATGAGTAAAAAGGTGGGGGCGCAGATTAAACGATTCCTTCAAGAGAATGCCACAATTCCCGAGAACAAGACCAGCGAGGAGAAGTGGTCATCAAGCGATGGTGGAAATGTGTTAAGTTGGCTGGCGCAGCGAAATCCCCAGCAGCCGTCACGAGGGGCGATTGACTATCTCAGCAAGGCGCGCCAGCCAGAAAAGCCACAGGCCGGGGCACAGTCTTCTCTGCCAAAGCCACGCTCACAGCAACAACGGGAGCAACAGCAGCCACAGGCGCATGAGCAGCTCTCCACGGGGTCTGCTGAGGAGCCGGCGCATACGCTTTCGGAAAAATTGCTGGGGGCACAAGTCGTCCAGCAGGTGAAAGTGGGCGACAGAGTCATCGTTTCCGGCGGTACTTTTCCCATGGAGGGTCTGCACGAACAGCAGCAGAAGCGGCAGCAGCAACAACAACAACAATCGACGACGGCCGCAAAGACTTACCGGGGGCGCGGTTATCGCGAGTCAAAGGAGGAGCGACTCAAGCGGCGCTTTGAAAAGATGGCAAAAGAGGCACAGAAGCGGCATGAAGAGGCCCTTCGCACAGATCCCGAATACAAGAAAAATTATCAAACGTTTCAAGAGCTCCAGGCGGCGCAGCAAGAAGCGCAGGCGGGTTTTCTCGAGCGATATGCCCGTCAGGAGCATTTGAACCTCAACGGTACGGTCAGTGAGCGTATTGACATTGCTGTTATTCTGGACCTTATTGAGCAACACGATGTCATTTTTATTTGCACGGATACGGGAAGTGGTAAAAGCACATTGGTTCCCAAAGCGCTGTTGGAGCTATCACAAAATACACGTGTTGTTAGCACGCAGCCCCGCCGCACGGCGACCATCTCCATTGCGTCGAGAGTAGCCACCATCCGACGCGAAAACGTTGGTGAGGATGTCGGATATTGGATCCGTGGGGAAAAGAGAGGCGACGATCAGACACGGCTGTGGTACATGACTAGCTACACGCTACTTTTGCATTTGCTTAATAACCCGCTGAACCCTCCATTTACGCACATTGTTCTCGATGAGTTTCACGAGCGGCAGCCGGATATTGAGGTGACTGTGGCGTTGCTGCGTCTTTGCCTCTTGAAGAGAACGGCAAACTTTAAGCTTATTCTTATGAGTGCCACGCTTAACACCGCCGATTGGGAGGAGTATTTCACCGGGCTGAAGGTGGCAACGTACAAACAAAGCGAACCAGAGCATCCAATTCACGATTATTTTATGGAGGATGTCTGCGCACTGATTGGAACGGGATATGATGAACCACTGAATTTTTTGGATCGCAGCGTTGACTTTTCACTGCTGGAGAAGCATATGGCCATTGCACAAACCCTTGTCGCGTACCTTAATGCCTATGCGGACCCGCAACACGCCATATTGGTGTTCTTGCCGGGTCGTGCGCAGGTGGAGCAGTTCCAATTGTGGCTTGAGACAAATATGCCGAGACCTGTTGACATTGTGCCATGGCACAGTTCCGTTGACCTTTCTGTCATTGAAGATGCCATCGGCCGTCGTTTGCCGTACAGCCAGAAGATTTATCTGGCGACAGATATTGCGGAAGTTTCCATCACTTTACCGGATGTTGTGTTTGTGATTGATTTGGTGTTGGTGAAGCGCCCCAAGATTAACAAGGACGACCCAGCCACCGTGTTGCACCCCCCACTGATGATGCAGTGGATTTCAAAGGGAAGTGTGGCACAAAGGCGTGGTCGCATTGGCCGTGTACAACAAGGCTTTTACTTTTGTCTGCTTCCATCCTCTATTGTTGCGTCTCTCCCCGATCATGCAAATCCACCCATTGAAAACTCCCGCGTGGACGAGCTCTCTCTGCATTGCCTACAGCTTGTTTGCAATCCCGTGGCGATCTTCAGTATCTGTCACGGTCAGCCGCTTGTGGAGACCATCACCGTCTCTATGGATACACTATCGCATTTGGGATGTATTATTAACAAGAAAGACCCTCTGGCAGAGGGCGAGCGCATTGCCGAAATTCACTCCAACAACCAATGGGGTCCGTTGGTGCTTGAGGAGGCGAAGAATGTTGTCCTTGCCGAAATTGATCAGTACGAGTACACATTCATAGGCCGTATTCTGCAGCTGATTCCAGTCTCTCCGCAGCCTGGCATGCTTGTCGTTTACGGCATTTTAACGGGGCTGGAGTCACTTATGATATTGGCAGCGGCAGTCACAAGTAGTCTTTCGCCGTTTGCGCCAAACCCACAGGAACATAGTCGACGGAGGCGTTACGCTGTTGTACAAGCAATGGAGGAGACGGAAAATGTCATGCGGGATATGTGCTGTGGTCTACGTAGCGATATTGTGGCTGTTATGAAAGCTGTTTTAAGGTTTCGAATTTGCGTTAGCGAGAGCGCTGGCGATGCCGTGCATGTGCGTCAGTGGTGTCTTGACCATCACTTAAGCCATGACAAACTGAAGAGCATTTTGGACCTTGAGCAGCACATCAAGTATGAATTGGCAAACTTTATTTCATTTCGCGACGTAGCTGACGCTCAGGAGCTTGAGATGCAGCTGGAGAAAGTTGCGCCGATTGTGGTTGTCATGTCAAATGTTGCCTTTGCGTCCCAGTCTCTGGAAGTGACGGCGGAAGGTAACACCTTCACAAATTCTAAGGAGACGGCAGTTGGGGTTTTTACCGAAATTACCGCTGTGCCGGACATTCACTCACCGAGCTGTCTTCGCTGGCAAGAAGGCGACATTGTTGTTCCCGTGCAACTCTCCCTGCTTGGCAACCGAATGCTTGCCAGTTTTACGACTGCTATTGCATCGCATAAGCAGTTTTGGCTCTCTTTGCTCTTGTTGACCCACCGGATTCAGTACGCGGCATTCGCCGATGACGAAGGTGCCTTTTACGTCTTCTCCGTGAGGTACCACAACATACAGCGGTACGTCGAGACGGACGCGGAGACCGGATACGCGGTCCTGCACTTCCGGCAGCTACTCAGTGCGTCTTGCCAGACGCTAAGGCTTCAGCACGAGCATCAAGACATGTACGACGATGAGTTTGCGGTACTATTGCAACGCTACGGGTTGAAACCTCTTTTGGAGGCACAGCGGGACGTCATCACGAGCATGGCAGCCTTTTTAAATAGCACGGAGCATCTCACAGTGGATGAGGTGGAGCACGACGAGGATGATCTTGATGAAGTCTCCATGATAACTTTGGCGCTTCCTAGGACGAAGGAGGACTGACGACGCGCTGAATACCCTGCGAAGAAGCAAAACAAGGGAAAACAACAGCAACAACAGAAATAACACTTATAGGCAAAACCGATAAAAGTGGACGGTAAGAAGGGAGACAAGTGAAGGAGCAAATAGAGAAAAGCGGGTGGACTCAAAATAGAGAAGCTTACTTCTGGTGGACACTTTTTTAGATCTTTGAATTGAGGCGGTTTAATGTAATATCTGTGTGCTCGTAGTATATATATATATATATGCACTTATATACACACGCACACGCACACACTCTCTCTTTATCATCTGTTTTTCTTTTGGGCTTTTGCAGGGGTAAACTCCCTGCACTTGTCTTTTATTTTTTTATTTTTATTTTTGGGGTTTGGCTGGTTTGTTCTGTTCTGAGCATTTCTTTATTTGTTGTTTAGCGAGCTGAGGACGAGAAACGTGGAATTGCTGTCGTGATGTCTACACGAAGGAAGAGAACACGTGTGGAACGGGATGCACCTTTTGGCCGTGGATTACTTGGAGAAAGAAATGATACCGTTTTTCAGTGGCTTCTGGGGAAGACGCAGAAGGAGTTCTTTCGGCACTACTTTGAAAAGAAGCCGCTGCACTTTTCTCACGGGGCGGCAACGCACTTTACTGAGGTGCAAGATGGACTACCGGCCGTGAAGTGGTCAACGGAACTCATGCTTCAGCTTGCCGCAGAGAAGTCACTGTCGTACACCACTGACATTAATATTGTTCGGTTTGATGCGGTGCAAAAGAAACGCGTCCCTTTTCGTTCAGAGGGGATTGTCACGGAGAAGGAGATGAAGCACTCTATGCGAAAAGGCTGGTCCGTGCGATTCTTGCGTCCCCATGAATACATCGTTGAGAATTCTGCGGTTCTTGCAATGTTGGAGGAGGCATTTGCTTGCTCTTGCGGTCTGAACAGTTACTGGACACCGGCAAACAGTCAAGGGTTTGCGCCACATTACGACGATGTGGACGTTTTTCTTTTGCAGCTGGAGGGTGAAAAGGAGTGGCGCCTGTACGATCCACCGGAGAGGGTGGATGTTCTCAGTCGACATTCCAGCGAGGACTATAACCCAGAGGAGCTTCCCAAGCCTACACAGATCTTTCGCCTTTTTCCCGGTGATGTATTGTACATGCCTCGTGGGACAGTGCATCAAGGGCGGAAATATAACCACGCGCACTCTCTGCATGTAACATTCTCAGCAAATCAAATGAATACATGGGCGGATCTTATGAAACACGCTGTCACACATGTTGTGGAGAAGTTAGCGGCAAATTACATTCATTGGAGACGCTCACTACCACGTTCTTTGCTGAAGAGATTGGGCGCCATTTACCACCCAACGTTTCGTAAGGAAAGCGGGCTAGCATTACTGACAGAAAAGCGAAAAAAGCGTCGTCGTCTATTGCAATTATCGTTCCGTCAAATGGCGGCCGAAGTGTTTCATCACTTATCGAGCGAAAAATTTATAGACGAGTGCTGCGATGTGTACGCCCGAAGTACCTTGGCAAAACAACAGCCTTTGCCGCGTTCTGTAGTCGAAGGCACACGCAGCAGAGTTACTCTTAGTCTTAGCTCGACCGTTCGTCTTGCCGCTTCTCATTGTGCACGATTGGTGCTTTCCGAAGAGGGGGAGGCCCATGTATACCACTGCTGTGGTAATTCTCCTGTATGTTTCGGCGCCCCAGAGGGTTTGCTGCGTTTTGAAGTGGACTTTGCTCCCGCCATTGCCACCATATTGGCGGCGCCTGCGTGTGGCGTGCGTGTATCTGACCTGCCATTTCCATCATTTGATAACTCTGACGACATTCTTCTAAATCAACTAACGCTCGCAGAGGCTTTGTGTGACGCGGGTATTCTCGCTGTTCTGTAGTTTGTTAAGAAGTGTCCCCGCATGAGTATCCAATTAGACTACACACATGATGTTCCGTCTGGTTTTCCATGTTTTTTTTTTTCGGTGTATTTGTCTGCCTTTTGTTTTGTTTATTTGTGGGGCGGCTTTGCCTGGATTTTTATTTTTATTTTTTCTGTGCACTTTTTCTTAATTCAGAGTCGTTATGAACTTAGATGTTATTGACGCGACGGCGGAGGCGCTTCCGCTGGAACTGCTGAACGCGACAAACAAGGAGCTGACGGCACAGCTTTCACGCCATGAGCAGCTGTGTGATGAAAAGCTACGTGATGTAGAGGATTTGCGGCGGCGGCTACAATTTATGAAGGAGCACCTCAGCAATGTGCGTGGGGAGATTGTGAGCACCCAGAGCCTGGTGGAGTGCAAGCGGCGCGAGGTGGACTCGGAAACGCACATGTACCGTCTCCTTGACCGCGAGTGCGGCCGGTTGAAACAGGAGCAGAATCATATGCAGGCCCAGCAGGCGGAGGTGCAGGAGCGGCTGCAGGCAGTGCAGAACCTCATATTTCAGGAGAACCTGCGCATGGCCGAGCTGAAGGGAGCAATGACGTTCAACCAGGAGGAGCTTGAGCAGTGGGACATTGCACGCAAGCAGAAGGAAGCGGACGAGGAGGCCGTGGCGCGCTACACGAAGGATGATGAGGTGCGGGTACGTCAGCTGAACACGGCCGTTGAGCGGCTTGAGGCGAAACTGCGTGACCGCAAGCGCCAGCTGGAGGAGGAGGTGATGGTGACACGCAATGTGCAGCTGGAGCTGGATCGCAGCGCGGTGGAATATCGCAAGCTGCACCATGACCGCGGGTCGCTGCTGGACGAGTGGGAGGCTGTTGTGAGGACGATTCACGAGCGCGACGCGGCGATTCGCTCGGCGGCGATGCGGTACGCGGAAGGTGCGGAGTGGCTGGGGCAGCGGCGAGCGGTGCTGATGGCGCTGTCGGCCGAGCTTGACACGGCGCGCGACGAGGAGGCGATGACGCGGGTGGGCATCAAGGAGCGTGAGCAGCGCGCGGAGAAGCACCGTGACGTTCTGGTGTCGCTTGAGGGGCACGTTGTGGCGATGGAGGAGGAGGTGGAAACACTTCGTGAGCAGCTGGCGCGTGCTGTGCGGGAGCGCAACAACAGCCGCATTCGTGCCGAAGAGAGCCGGGCGGCTGTGGCGCAGAGGGCGGCGGCGTACGACCGCGTGGTGGAGAAGCGGGCGCAGACAAAGAAGCAGCTGCACGGTGAATTTGACACGGCGATGGATCTCGAGCAGCAGCGGGCCACAATTGCGCGACTGCTGCAGGAGGCGCGTGCGACGGACCGGCGCCTAGAAAAGGAGGTGGAGGAGCTGAAGCGCGAGAACTTCGGAGCGGGTGAGCGGCTTCAGGCGGCCGGTCGCCTGCAGGATGAACTCATTGCGGAGATTAGCGGTGGGCAGGCGCAGGGACGGAACCTCAAGGCGAAGATCAGTCAACTCGACCGCGAGTCCTTTACGCAGCAGGAGATCCTCTACAATGTTGAGTTCAATGTGCAGCAGATGGAGCGCAAGGTGAACCGGACGAAGGGGGAGCGGACGGAGGATGAGCGCAACCGCCTGAACGAGAAGATTGCGGCGATGCAGAGCACACTGGACGACCTGTGCACGCAGCAGCGTGCGTTAGACACGCAGGTGAAGCGAGTGCGGGAGGAGGCGCGACAGGCGAACCTGGAGGTGGCGAGGATGCGGGAGCAGGAGAAGAGCACATGCGACAAGGCGCTGCAGCTGCGTCTTGAGTGCGACAGCTGCGCGGTGGAGTTGCGTAAGCTGCGCAAGGTGCGGGAGGATGAGTTGGTGCGTGTGGACACACAGGAGCTGCAGCTGCAGGGGCTGAAACGCACACTGCACCAGCGTAGCGGCGAGTTGAGCGACCTTGAAGGGCAAAAGAGACAGCTGTCGGTAGACGTGTCTCAGCGGGCCTCGGAGATTGCCGTGCATCACGAAATCCTCAAGATGGAGGCAAAGCTTGCGGAGGAGGAGCGTCGGCGACTTGTCGCCGAGCTGCAGGAACGCCAGAGAAGCCTCGGGGCGCTGCGTAACCGCTACGATGTGCGTGTGGGCCGCATGGATCCGGATCAGGCGCACCTGACGCAGGTGCAGCTTGTGGTGGAGGCGGCAAAGGAACGTGAGGCGCTGCAACACAAGGGCGACGCGCTGGACGCACGTGTGGCGCGACTGGAGCGTGACCTTCTGAAGCTGGAGCGGACGCTGCAGGTCATACGGGCAAGCAACTCGAACTACCGCCATATGTTTGACCGGGTGCAGGACAACGATGCGGAGGAGAAGACGAGACGGGCTCTGGAGGCGAAGCGGCGGGAGCTCAAGACCTTCATCAGCCGGCGCGCGCTGGAGGCGAGCGAGTACCAGGAGGTGTTGCATGGCAGGGCGTCAGAGCTGCAGCAGGTGTTGGAGCGGAAGGAACGGACGCTAAATGCCGTGGAGGAACTGCGGCAGGCGTGCGAACACGCGCACGGGACCATCCTGGAAGGCAGAGAGACAATTATCCGCTACAACCAGGCAATCAACAAGGCCCGTGGTGCTGTTACGTCGGAGGTGGCGGCAGATGTGGAGCTGCAGGAGAGGCGGCAACGACACGAGGCGACCGTGGGTCGTATGCTGCAGCTGTTGCGGCGACACAGCGAGGCTGCAGGCGAGACGGCGCATGCGCTTTTGATGGAGCGATTGGGTGCCGTCTGAGAGGGAGCGGATTTGCTCCGTCGCGAATGTATAATGCTTGGCTTTCTGGTGGTATTTTTTTATTTGTTTTGGATTGTTGCGATTTTTTTTTGTGTTTGAGGAGTGTGTTTTTCTGTGTTCTGTGGTACGGTGGTGTGCTTTCCACGTGTTTGGGCAACGCTTTTTACACACGCTGAAGGAGTGACTAGAACTGCAGAATGACAGACGCGACATGCCCGCAGTGGCTCTCGCAGGCGGAATATTTGCGCTGCCGCACCGACCCGTATCGTGCTCTCGATGCTGCTCAGAGACGCGTCAACGACATCCGCAGGAGCATCCTTGCGCTGCGGTCGTCCATCAAGGCGCTGGAGGTTCACCCCGTCGTGCAGCTTGGCCGCGCCGCCCGGCATTTTGAGAAGCTGCGGGCGGAGCATTTTGCGCTTGACGACGCCCACAGCGAAAAGCTGCAGCAGCGAGCGGCGCTCGTGCGTATTGCCGATACCCTCCGTGAGGAAAAGCGTGCGCTGCTTGGGGAAATCAACGTGGCGCGTCGAGGCGTAATGGTGCAGCGGGTGGAGTGCGACGACATCTCGGCTGCCTGCAGGCGGCGTGAAAGGGAGCAAAAAGCACGTTTGGCGCTCCAGGAGGTACAGGAAGTGCAACTGGCCGCCCTGATTGAGCAGGAACGTGACTGCAGCTAGCGTTTAGCAGCCGCTCGGGCCGAGTTTGATGCACTATCTTCTGCCGCGGAGCAGCA